CGCATCCTGTCTCGTTAGTAATCAGTAACTTTAAAGTTGTTTTATTATGTAAAAAAACAATCAGTATGATTCGACTCTGAATGGGGTCAAGTCAAAACATTTGTCTTACGCACACTCACCTCCACAAGTAAGTTACACATGCATAATCTGAACAAGTCTGTATATGTGAACCTAAGGAATTTACCGTCTTTTTTAGGATTTTTCTCATAAAACCTTCTAGCACACGCATTCAAACTGAAACATCTTGTCGAAAGGGTGTACGGCACCGCTAACCCGTCAGTGAGATTGACAGATCTAACACACTGATTAGTAGAACCCAGAAAATTGTCACTCCAAAATCCTCGCCGTGTTAAACCCAATCAAAAGCAGTTCTATAGGTAATCTCACACGAACCTAACCCACCTAAAGGATAGGGTCAACAATAAGTCAAGTAAATACATGGCAAATCTGGAGAGGAGCAGCATACATGGGTCTGGCGAAACGCCTCTGTCAAGACGCGTCTACTTGCTGTCATTGTATGACCTACTCAGTCGTCCTGGATTGAAAGTGTGGTGAAGCTAGCTGACATTTGCTGTCTTGAAATTCATGGGTGATTTTTTTTCCTGAGTATACGATCTAAAACTAGCCCCTGAGGCTGAAGACATCATTTCTTGAGTCACAGCGCCAATGTCTTTCCTACATGATCTTCGGTTGGAACAAGTGTTTGGGAGTGTCCTATCCGTGACAGTTCTCTTAGAATGAATTGCTGGTCTGAAGTTCACGAGATGCTTGCCGCGAAGATAAAGGCGTTTGAACAATGAACAGGAGTCACACGGGGCCGTGTGAGCACAAACAAGCACACATGAATAAATTCACACACACACACACGAAGCATGTGACCGTTTTGCTAAAAACAGGTGCCTTGGAATCAATAATGCATCGTCTGATGTGTGCATTGGTTGAAGTTAAAATGGTTCACGACTCTTCATCGAATCAGCCGATTCGCTACTGTGATAGTCTGGTCAACCTAAGAGGCTTTCCAAAATCTGAAGGCTGAAGAAAGAACAAGTCCTGCATCAGTACCGACATACTAGTTCCACAGAGTGGTGCTTAGGGAAATCCAGTTCGCAAAAATTCTAGTAGAAGCTGCTTGTCATGCCACGTAGTTGTTCACCAGATGCGTGCTCAAGACCACTAAGCGAAAGAAACAACAAAGCATTGCTTTGTAATGCTCGTCCATCTCTTCAGCTTCTTCTTCAATGGTGGAAGCATCATTTCACGGTTGACACGTGTTTACTTGACCAAATTTTACCGAAAATAGCAATCTGATTGTGGCTCTTGGTAAGAAGGCCTGACGCCGACACCCTGAGTGGTGAAACCAGTTCGCGATCCATCCTCGATATGCCTCATCCTCCTTGTCACACCTTGGCTAAATGGCTAGTCAGTCTGTTACAACTAATTCACAATCCCCAATTTCTGCTTTGCTACTTTCACACCGAAACGAGTTTTCCAAACAGAATGGATGGGAGGGCTTAGGATCCTAGAATTAACCTTGTTAAGGTTCACTAGCAATATATTTATTTGTTCACGATAGGCTGAGGAATAAACCTCATTGAGAGACAAGGACCTTGACATATAACCAATTAAGTGACCAAGTAAAACAACTGGGAGTTCAAGAATGTGTGTTAAGGTTTGAGGAGACTCCTCTCTTGGTTTGCGTCTCCTCTTACGAATCCCAGATTCGTGGATGCCAGTTAGATTTTTCAAGGTCGAAACCAAGTGAATTCCGCAGTGAACGAACTGAATGGTAGGGTATGTGTATTGGACAAAACTTTCAGGTTCGGTTTACACCGATTCGCAGACATGTCCTCTAGCACTCCACCATGTTTGCCATGTCAAACTGGGCTTCGGAAGAGATGTACTTTGAATTCCTCAATGAGTCCGGAAAGAACCGATCTAAGCAACTTAACTTTTCTAGTTATGGCGCCAGCCCTTGAAAGGTAAAAGTTGGTCAACTTTCCCGAACATCTCAGACATATACATTGCATCCTGTTGCACAATCTTGCTTGCAGATATGGGTAGCTCTGGGGATTGTAAGATTGTCCTGCCCCTTTACTGGCACCATTTCTCCGTTTAACTCAAAACAAAACGGAGGGATATTCGACTCGACTTTTGTTCACCTTATCTGAACGGTGTTGGTACTCGGGACTTTGTGGTTGGTTCCTCCAACGATTTAAACAACGACTCAGCAAGTGTCTCTGATGTATCGACCCCTGTTGAGGCAATCCAGTCAGCTGGCGTCATGGACGTTCGAAGCCTGCCGGATTGACTAATATTTGTGGATAGTTCTGGGGACACATGAAGGACTGTTCGGAAGAGACCGATGTGAAGATGGGCAAAAGTGATATATTCAGTTCTTTATGCTGAGTTAGGAGTAGGTGGAATTGACGAGTAGATTACGTGCTGCGAACATCTTGAGTTAACAATGTCCAGTTATCTATAGATGTTTATCCCACCAGGAAATTGATTTTCAGTACACGTAAAAATTTTCCATTTGGTAGAACCTCCGTTAAGCATTCCATTCATGTACGTCATTCATTTTATCTGGGTCTGGCTTTCGAGATCACTTCTGATGCCCATAATCATGAGTATAAAAAGGTGAAGGTCACTTAAGTGGCATTCCACCAAGATCCCCGAGGTTACTGATCAGCTGAATGTTGAATGGGTACATACCGGCTACAGTACACAAACTGCTTAGCTCAGAGAGAAACGTGCTGCGGATTAACATCGACCTCATTTGATACGATGCAGGATGCTTTTTAGATCAATTATAAGCACCCCGCCTTGCACATAACCGCACGTGACTCTCTCGTCGGTGGGAACATTCTGGTACTATCTAACGTCACCATACATCTAATTGACACATCCACATGAAGTCTTTTCCGCATCAACCAACACTAGTCAATCGTTTGTTCGAATAGGCATGAATCTATTTCCAAAGAGGATTTCAAACTTTGAGTAATTTTTCAGAACGACCATTTATTGCCTCATAAAGAGTATCAGAGTCTGGTAGATCCATTTAGAGAAAGGCTAAATCTGATTAGTTAAAGGGTGACCTGTAAGCAAGAATTTGATCAGAGAGCCATGACACTGTTATGGAGTCATGAACTAGTAATGCATGTGGATATGCGAAGAGATCTGGTTAGCAAAACGAGAGAAGTGTACAATGTCCATGATGGTACCAGAAAAACGTGTATGTTAAACATGGCTACTAGTAAAACCCTTCCCATCATTGGGATTCAAAAGAAACTCTAAAAAATAGTTTAATATCTAAGCAGAACCGATGGCTGAACTTTTGAAATTAAACAGGGCAACAGGTGGATTGTTTACCAAACCTTTCTGAAACGGTGACAACTCAATCGGTTCCAAACGTTTTCCAGTTGGTTGTAAACAGGACATGTTAGGTGGAAATCAGTTGTGTTCAGGCTATTAGACTATTTAAAAGCCAAAGTAAACAATTTTCCAGTCCCAGGCAGTGATACGCCTACTTCATTAGGATATCCTTTTTTTACAGCGTTTGAGCTTTCCGTAACCACAAGATGTGCTTCGTCTGTCCAACATATTTTATGCTTTAAGCATGAGGCGCTCCTTCTAGAAGGTGGTTGGCATTCGACACAGTACAGGCTATGACCACTGGCTCCGTCCACAAAGTAGACACAAATACCAATGACCCCACAACGCGTCCACAAACGCAGTATCCATTTTTGAGACGAACGCCAAGACGGAGAACAATGCACAACAGCAGTGGAGAACAAATGCGTACTTTGTACATTGTCCACTCGGTCAACAATGCCAGCGTATCAATAACACGGACAACGCACAAAAACAACTGCCAGCTAGGTCATCGGTTGTAGACGGATGGTGCTGAAAAGACGCCATCAGGTGTTTGTTGGTGGTAAGTAGTTGAATAGACCCCGTGCATGCTATCGTGTGTCCCATTGACAGGGAGGGAGTGAGGTTATGTGAGTACGTTCATTATTCAGCCTGTCGCCACTCCTGTGCACCGCGATAAGATCCTACCAATAGTGCCTCTAATGGACTTGCATTAGGCTTTGAGTGGAACAGAGTTGAATGGAAGCGATGATCTAGTGGTTCGTACAGAAAAACATTGAAAACATGGTTGTGACTGAACTGAGAAGACCTAGTGAAGTATGCAAAACTGGCATGGCGCCTAAAGCTCATACATAAAACCTGAAGTCTATCTATTATTTTTGGGTCCCAGCCTATTTGGCATTCAACGATATCAGCAGTTTTATTCCTGTTGTTTTTTTCACTCAACAGGTAATACAGCTGTCAAAAGCGTACAAACTATTGGGGTGCGGTCTGAAAAGCCTCAGTAAGTAGGCACTCACGGGCTAAGCTTTTTCATCCTAAACACATCTATCTATACAGTCAGAAGTTGATAACGGGTTTTAGACTGATAAAAGTTGGAATGCATGTGTAGCTGGCCATCACACACTGCGAGTGGCGGTCTTGTGCCAAATCTATCGTCTCATTTCCTGACATACCCAGCAAATAAATCCATTTGCTTTCATTGCACAGATTTGGCCAGTGAATCCAACGCCTGGATCTCATTCCATCATTCTCCTTGTTCTTGTTGAAACACGGTGTAGCACCTAAGACTGCTACAATCCGACGCACGTTTCTGAACCGAACTAATCTATTCATATGCTTTGATAGTATTTGTGCATTCCCCACTCAGTTTTCAACCATCAGTCGTGCGTGGATGGCGATGATCAACAAAAGTTAAACAGTTGTGTAGTACTCATCAGCTTCTCAGCACATATTGATATAGCTTTATAGGGTATTTCAGCGTATTAAATGGTCCGATACACAGCTAAACGAAACGTTTGTTTAATTGAGACCGGTCTTGCATCAAAAAATCACTGAATAACCCTATCCCCAAACCAGTTTGATAAAAATGAATTTGCAGACAAGGCCTAATGCTCAGCTGAACTTACTGTGACCATTTGGTATGGGAGTAGGAGACGATAAGTGTGCCAGGGAGTGAATCAATGCCGAATGTGTTCTGGTTACGGGGTCCTCCTGGCCTTTCGCATGCGTTTCCACATTGAAGTAGACATTGTGCAGTTCATTTTCCATAATAGAAGGAAGTCGCGGTCTCAGGTTTTGCTCGCAGACCAGGTAAAACATTGACTGTAAATCCGGTTCATTTGCTGACTATATCCATTGAAACGAAGAAACATACATTATGTTTACAAAAAATATAAAGATTTTCGAGAGCTAGTTAATGAGAACACTCTGTCGTCACCAGGACGATAGGCCCGGATAACAAAAAATTCTGCTGTACAATTCTGCGCGTGTTCCCTTCCTAAAACTCCCAATTCAAAGCTACCCATCAACGGCTGGGGAATGCGCATTTTGTCGCTCATTTGTCGGATGTGCAAATAATCCGATCCGCTGCCCAGACCAAAACGCTGTTTCCCTATAAGCTCTGGCACAATCAGTGCATGGAATTGTGCCTTTCTCAATTTCCAAATAGGCAATAGTAGTATGCATTCTTATAACTACTGTTATTCGGCCTTGATTGATCCGCGTATATAGCCACTGCACTTCTCAAGGCGCACTAAGGAAACATTCATCTAGTCTAAAAATCCAGTTGTAAACAGAACATCAAACGCGTTCTCTGAGTGGATCCAGGTGTACGTTATTCGATGGAAAATTATGATTTAAGTTAAGTCGGACGTATGGGACGAAAATTGGACCAACATGCACTTTTTTACTGGGAAAAACCTGAAGACACTGACAAACTAGTGGGATCGCAAATTTAGGAAGATGCCTCAACTAAGGCATCATCATTGTTTTCACGCGTATGGGGGTGCATGCTATCCAACAAATCCGTAAGGTGGCAAGGCTCCGAACTGGTGGCGTGGAAGCATAATAACTGGGATGTATGCATCAGGTCAGTGTTTATGATCTATACGTATTGTTCAGATTCAAAACTAGTGGCTAGCGCGTGGTTAAACGGTACTAAGTGTCGCAGCACCGGACGTTACTCCAAACCGTGAGAATTCTCCAGTTAGTTCAACCTCCCTACCACATAGTCATCTCGGAAAACTGCTATGCATAACGTCCTCTCATCAATTTCGTCTGGCCATATTTTCCCATGAGACACCGTTCTCAAGTTTAGGTACATTTCAGTTTTGCACCAAGTGGGTTTAGCATGGTCTTAAAGATAGACCTCCAGCTGATTATAAGGAAGAAACTTTCGAGGTTTATACACCATTCCGCTTCTTGTTGAATTGCCCCTAGTCCATTTAAAAGTTGTTCGTTCGTGCCGTGGGTATTCGTACATTCGTCGGCACAGAGTGAAAACAAACAGCCAAAAGAAGCTCTTTGTGTAGCTATCTCTGTCAAGTCCAATCAAGAGCAGCTTTATGCACCAATGCTGTCTTTGACACGTTGTCGACGGGACCGCATTCGACTACAATGAACGATATCGCGCACACAAACAACGTATGTGGTCGTTCTTTTCCCGTATCAAAACGCCTAATCGATTGGCATCACATTGCTCACCACTGCTGCCAGATGGATGTTCTGACAGCCAAACAAATGACAACAAGCGAAACATTAAATGCGTCCCTTGTCACCATAGATGGTAGTCTGGATAAGAATTCTGTTTCCCTGCTGGCTGGAACAGGTTTCCGCTTAGTTCTATGACACTAGGCGTACGAATGACTCATCGCATGAGAGCTGGAAACTCATTATTAAAGGTATACGAGGAGTACATACTTTGTTGCTTTGTGCATGTTTCCGCACCCTCGGAAGACAGCCAAGTCTGTGAAAGCTTTGATCAATATCCTAACAAAATAGTCAGCTCAAAGATGTTTTTTGTAGTCTTAGAAGTGCTTGTCACATCCGAATTGGGGTAATCGTAGGTTTTTTAAAGAAGTACAATCTTTCAGCGGCGACTACTATCTCCCAACCTGTAGGTTGACATGATTCCTCCATATATTACATCAAATTATGGAACTAATCAGCAGAGGATAGCGAAAGTAGAAGGATGATAGTGAGGAGAAGATTGAGCGAACGGTAACTAGCACCGAATGCAACAGTACCCTTCCACTCCCTGGCCTCATGAATCGGTGTGGAATTGGATTATTAGCTAACCTCATAGATAAGAGGCAGTTCAAACGCCACTTTATCTTGAGAGTTAATTCACTCAGCGGTTTTTACAACATAAGTGTTGCAACTTCTTTACAAGCACGTGACATCTAGTCCACGTAGGCCAACGTAAATCTATAGAGGAAAATGTCGGTAGCTCAGATAGCGTAGGTGGTGGTCGTTGGCTGAGCTGGACACAACCACTAACCCACCGCTACGCACTACTACGCTCCCCAATAACGCACTGATGATGTCACCTCGATTAGTAAGGAAACGTTTGCAATCAAACTGCCCAGCTCAGCGAACAAGCCAGCGACCACCATCAACGTAAATCTGCAAGTTCAGAGCCAATAACTGATGAGTAACAAAACTGTCAAGGTGAGTAGGTTCGTTCGGCAAATACTTACCTTGGTAGAAACAGTCACGTCCAAGATGCTTTCCGAAGACGCATTCGGCAACTCTGATTGTGAGTGTGATGTAGGAGTGCCAATGACGTCCTCCAAAGTGTTGGCGGCAAAATCCATATGGTCACGGTGTAGCCTCCATTCTCTCTGATAGGCTAACTGCTGCAGATCTTCACACAGAACGACTCCACTCTGTGAGGAACTCAACCCAAAATAGTTTTGTGACGCTGCCGGGCTTTTTTCCAAAGGACCAGTGTCAATACTTTCAGTCTGGAATGTGCTTGGATTTGGGCAGTGACTTTGCGGAATGGCCCAGGTAATTAATTCCCACAAAATCAAACTCAGGCTGTAAACATCGGCTCTTTGATATGCTTCGAAGCAGAATGGACTAATGCTGTTGCTGAGTATCTAAAAATGTACGAAAAGTGAAAACATGCGGTCACTGTTAGCAGATTCAGTCCTTGGTGCTTAACAATAAAAAAGAAAGTATCAATTTCGATAAGTCCCTCCAAGCACTGGTCGGTGACACATTTTGGTGAGAGCAGTGGCACATTTGCCCTGAAGTGACACTTGTAATCAAGGAAGAGTTGCGCGTTTCTTTGATGAGATTCCACATATATGTTCAACAGCAAGAGTCTGTGAAATAGCCATGTGTGTCTGAAGAGTTTTCTCAAGAGTCCATTGGGCTTTCATCCGATCTCCATCACACGAAGTTATCGAATTTTCTCTGTCGGTAAGCCTTTGCAGACGGAACCCGAAGAATTAGATATATTGGTGCATTCCATTAGGAAGTAAGATGAAAGTGCACCACTGGCATATTCTTCCCTATCCGAAACCCAGTGGATTCGCTCCAAGTTCGGATTTTAACTGCACTGGAGAACAATTTTATTTGGTTTAGTCGACATGAGTGATAAACCAGTGGCAATAGATTAGATTACTTTAGTTAGACTGCAGAGCAGCAAAACCTTAACAAGCAAGGTCAAGGGGATATCGTTACCACCCTCCGGAAAGTTCGTTTAATTAGGCGAAACGCACTCATTCGTGCGCCACTTTGGTCTTCGCGAGAGACACAAATGAACTCCTTCTGAATCTGTCGTTTTTATGATATACTCCAACTGAACGTGGTGCACGAAGTCCACCTCTTGTCTCGGTACGATATTAGAAATGACGGATGATGATGAGGGAAACCACTTACAAATTTGCTGGAAACTTTCGACAGCCAAGGACCGATTTACCGTTCTTGGGGCTCGTCACCTAGGCGCAGTCTCCTAGTTAAGTCTCCTGTTAAAACAAAACTGGTGTGCAAATGCATATACTTCACGAATTTTGTATCATTTGGGTTCAGGAAGAAAATATTGATGACGGAAACTCAGATACTGCGCCTGTCCGATGAGCCCAAAGAAGGGCGAAACTGGCTGTCGAAGGGTCTTAAGAAAACGTGCGAGTTGTCAGTCAGCTGGCGATGCTGAGTTTGGTATTATTTCCATTGCTTTTTAAACCTGTTTTGCTATAAGAGTACCTAACACCTAAGTTTTCGGCTCGCATATATGTGATCAACAACCTTAAAACTGAGCTGAAACATCTACTGGATTCTGTCATTCACATTTTATTTATTCATTGGCAGTCTATCAGCTTGTTGTTGTATCAACCTCAGGCTCCGACTTGTGGGACTCTCATTCCGAATCCCGAGTGGCAGATGTGCAGATCCTTTAGAATGACCTTGAAACCGACTGTCGATAAAGATGCAGTGGTTGGCAGGGAAGCATCGCAGTAGAGACGGATGCAACCACCGTCAATGAAGCTCTGTCCTCGTTTGAGAGCGCCTTGCACCCTCCAATGTACCGACTCTGATTAAATTAAATGAGGTGTCGAGAGCGAGTCCAATGAACAGACATGTCTGGACATGCCAAGTTGCTTTGCAGGTGTGGGCATCACACATTCACCCAATGCTTAACGTCAAACTGTCTGTATACGAGGTGAAGAAACGTGTGCGAGAATGACGGATTTTCAAACGCTGAGCACAAAAGAAGGACCGCCTATTTTTTAAGACTTACACTGGGACAACGAGCCAGTCTCGTTCTATTTACCGTCGACTTATTCCAAAGCGCAGCAGTTCAAACAGATCCAACCCATGTTCCATTTTTGTCAAGTTTAGACACGCTCGGTTGCTTAAAGAGACCATCCTCGGGTGGACTTCGACCCAGTCAATTTAGGTCGACATTTCGACAATCTGTCCACAGTAAACAGAACTGGAACGTCTTCGTGTTTTTGACGACCATTCTCCAAGAAATTTAGCTCGCTTAGGCTGATTCCAACGAATCCACAGAAGGTATTCGCAACGCTGCGAAGAAATGTGTCCCGCATCAAAAGGCGCGGTGGTTTGGTCAAGTGCTGCGTATACCGAAGCATCACCTTCTGAAAAGAGTGCTGTATCCCGTACCCAATTCAGAGTGGTGCAACAGAAGAGTGGTCAAATTTGACCAAGCATAGGGTTACGAAAGCGATTACGAGAGGCCCAAGCACCGTCTGCGTGGTGCTGCTTCGCTAGAAACGAAACAAGATCTGGCTGCTAACTGATGTCATTGGTGCACAGTCCCTGTAGATATTGCCTGCGTTCGCAATATGCTGGCACTAAATCTCTTGCCTTTCCGTTCTCATTTTTCTCTTTCCATAACTAGGCAATCAGATAAATTACGACGGTACTTTGGAGAATCACCGGTTTTAATTTCTTCAAATAAAGATGTGAAGAATGGAATGTAAACCACAAAATTCGAAACTACGCTCTCATTCAAAATATAAACAAGGACCGGAGATTCGAAGATGAACACAGAAATCACTGCCCACAGGCAACCTTGTCATGTCCAAAAGTTCCGCCTCTGTTTGGGTCAAGCTATACCTTTGTGCTAACAGTTCGACCCAAGTAGCTGGTCAGCTTCAAGTAGACCACCAGAATTACTGCATTATCGATTACGTGAAGTTTCGAATGTTTGTCCATTGCCGAACTCCAGGGATTTTTGTATTCTATTCGGTACAAAATCAGAGTCAGCGCACAATGACTCACTCGTGCAGTTTTGGTCCAATATGATCAAGACAAGGTTTGAGGATATGGTTGGATAGGGGTGAACAAACAATCCGAACAACCAGAGGAAATTTCGAACTGATCTCTGAGACAGATGAACCAGAACAACAATAGCAAAACAGGCAGGCACCAGGCAGAACAACACAATTGGCGCCAGTGTCAAAAGCGCCTGAGCAACGAATAACGCACAACGAATGAATAGCGAACAACGCACGCATTGTACCAGTTTATAAAACCAGTGCTTTTGGAACCGGTTTTTGTCTGTATATGCACCAAAGGTAACTTTGGTTGTGTTAGTTTGCGGACGGGTGGTTGAACAAATGTGTGGAAGGGAGGGGAATGACTGAATAACTTGTCACTTGTCGTTGACAGGGAAACTGGAGCAAAGGCACTAGTTGTTGGAAAAACTAATAAACGGGCTAGCAGGGTTGTTGGTGTGTTTGTGCTCCACCCAGAAACCCATGAATCAACTCAACCGTCCGCCCCTCATTAAGCAGGTAAAGATTGGATCAAAGTTCTCGAGCGCCACCTGAGCAGAACTGTGTCATGTGTATGGAAGGGACAAAGATCAGAGTAACTGATTTGAACAGAAACATTTTTTACATGGGATCAACGCATATGTAACGGAAAACTGAATTTCTCCGCTGCAAAGTTTAATGCATTGCTGAACGTAAAACTCCCAAGGCTTTCTGTATGCTTCTAAGGCCCTAGTTTGATAACCGGGGAGGCGAGTTGGGCTACATCACCTTTTATCGGCCAAAACCTAACAACGGGGGGGGGGGGCATTTCATATCACAAAAAGCAAACAGGAATGAGTGTGGTTCTACTCACCTCGGGTGCCATATAACGAGGGGTGCTTATGTGGATACCTCCGACGGGCCACCAGTCCAACAGTTCGACTTTGTCCAACGTCAGATTTGCGCTGCGTCTTTGAAGTGCCTCAGCTTCAGCAGAGTTAGGTTGCTGTTGAAGTGGTATTCCGGACGGAACAGGTTCACGAATGGGTTCTTCGATCACTACTCCTACGTTGCTTTCCTCGGACACGAAAGGGATGATGCTGGGGATCGTAGATTGGTTTCCTACAACCAGCTGTAGTCGAGGTCGTGAAACATATTGCAAGTACATGTTATTCAGTTCCTCCAATGGTAGGGGTAATGGATTGGGTGCGGCGCGAATAGAAAAGCCGATGTCACCTATACAACATGTCCAGTCTGACTTGACAAAGATATTGGATGGTTTGAGATCTCGGTGTGCCAATCCTGGTTTACCGCGGGTGCCAGCAAATTCTGTGAAACGGAGATCAGAAAATGCAGACTATAAATAACTTGAGCAAGGATATCATCGGTTTGGTCGTCGGCTTGTTCACTGAGTTGGGCAATTTTGTTGCAAAGGTTTCATCACCAATCGAGGTGACACCATCAGTGCGTAGTTGTGCGATGGGTTAGTAGTTGACCATCCAACGACCATCTACGCTACCTGATCTACCGACATTCTCCTCTATATCATCGGTTTATTTGTGTTGATTGATTGGAACAGTTTCAGGTTAATACTTTAGCTGCCAATAAGTCCCCATTAGATAGATCTTCAACCACTGACCTCGTTCCTTACAAAAAGTGTAAAGTAGCGCCTCAAACGGTCCGTGAATCATTTGATAAAATACATACAATCTGAGTAATCTATTCCTTAAATTCTCCCCTTGGAAACGTTCATTCGCCGTTCACTACACAAACCTCCGGAAACATGCGACAAACTCAGTTGATAAGTTGGTTTTAACGGTCCACCGATAAAAAAGCATTGTCAAACGGACATGCTTTTGCTTGTCTATAATGAAATCGGCAAAGACGTTGACTATAAATGTCAGTTGTTGTTTGTTTGTTTGTTGTAAATAGGAATGAGGGAGAAAACGCTTCCATGCTCTATGGAAGAACGAACGGCTAAAGTCAATCGATCAAAAGCGGAATCACTGTCGATATACGCGCCATCCGACTGTAACATTCAAGCCGTCAGCAACCGGTTCGCTTGAACCGGTTCGTAACCGTCACGGATTCCAATGCGCCTGTCCACAAAAGCGCAAACCGATGTAGCATTCTGTTGGTGTGCATGTTACCCATTGGGACCGGTCGAAAGCAACCAGCTAAACCGAGCAAACACACCGACAAAAACACAGGCTGGTTCCCTGGTGTCACTCTCATTGCATATATGGTTTTGGAAAAACTTGTGGAACGAACTATTCGTGCCCCATCACCAGGTGTTACCAAAAGTATCCCGACGTGGATGTCAGCTGATACTCTCAGGGCAACTAAAACAGGTGACTGCGATAATGGACGTCACAACAGCTAATCAAACCGGTCAAAGTTTGTGGGGCGGAAAAGTGGACAAACGTAATGAGGAGGGAAAATGCGTCGGCCAATGTAGAAAGAATTCACAAGTTTTTCAGTCTGAGCATTTTTTCGGTCATTTAATTGATATTTGGCAGTTTAGGCGTGTTAGTCGCATTCTCCCTTCTACAGTAAAATCGGTATTTCAGAAGGAACCACCATTGCTTTCTGAATTACGAGCGCAAGCTCAACAATGATCAATTTTCAGGTGTCGTCAAGACATTTGAAAACCGAAGAAAAAGCACGTATGGAGGGATGCTTGATTTTATCTGATAAATTCCGCCCAACTACATTCTGATTTCAAGTTTACAATATTTCTTTTGTGTGAATATGATGTCTTCAGGTGTTTTCTATTACGGACGTTAAATAAGCCTTTCGGATATTCGGGAGGCATAGCTGTGGATTTGCTGCAAAGCACAGTAGTTTGAAATGTGCCCGTTTAAAAACTTGAATTCAATCCACGAAATAACGTCAAGGGTGGAAATAAGATGTCCATCTATAGCGTACATTAGTATTTGGCCTCAGTAGAGCTAATATTAATTCCAGTTGACAATGTTGTGGAATGTAGGTAGCTTGGGTGCGCTGTTTGGTTGTTGGTCTGTTCGCCGAGCTTGGCAGTTGGATTGCAAACGTTTCATCACCAATCAAGGTGACATCGTCAGTGCAGGGTTGAGTGGGCCAGTATCTGAAGAAGTCGTTTGCGATGCACCTTTCCCATTTACATGGGAGGTTCCAATGAGTTACTGCATATATTCCTCTACAGGAACAGTCCACTGTCACACATTTCCTCAAATGAATCTAGGGCCAATCAAGTCGGTTAACTTCTACTTTTCCACTTCTGTAACTAAAGGCTCCTTGATCTTGTGCACCGGTAAAGCATGGAAACTTCAACCATATCTCATCGAATGCCAGTCGGCACGAAATCAGCGTCTGTTGTCTATAAAACGTGGAATAGGTTTCCCGATTAGTTTTGTGCTACAGATTGACACACCTACAAGCTTAGTAACTAAAAACAACTTATACCTACTGTCCCATCCTCACATTTAAGACATCTTTGAAGGCTCGGATCATTCTCAGCTGGAAAACTCAGCCTTTTGCTGAAGCGTCCATGGCATAGAGGCAGCATCACATGCTTAACAAGCCTGTCTGACAGATCAGGCCAGTGGGCTCTCTCGCAACTAGCTTTTTGCGTTTTGCAATACCTCCAAGAAATTTTATGATAACCTAAAGCTGAACGGAATAACCAACACTCCCAATGACTAGCTCACTATAGGGGGCTAGGTAGAAACAAAACGTTAACCACTGGGGAGATTGTTTGGAAGCTCAGATGGGTTAGATAGTCGTTGGTGGATTTATTGAGTTGGGCAGGTCGATTGCAAACGTTTCCTCATCAATCAAGAAGACATCATCAGTGCACTGCTAGGTAGCGGAGTGGAGCCTAACGGTGCGTCCGTATTTGTGCTGTGTAGCGGTACGTGTGTGTTAGTATTCGTGCTGCAAGCTTCAGCTGATGTCCGATCACGAACGGGCGGTTCTACTGGTCATAGGTTCAAATTGGAAAACGCAAAAGTCTGGGCATGCAAAGGCACAAGACGAGAAAGTAAACTTTTGGAAGCATGGTTCACCACGACGGATGCAATCAACCAACATGCGTGTCGAGTTATGCATCACTGCGTGCAAATGATCAACCTGAAAACTCAAAGAGAGCCTATCAGTGGATTAACAAACCAAGAAGCCTGAAGCTTCTTCGAGTTACACCAGGGAACGTCACAAAGTAGAATCCAGAGAGGTCAAGGACAAGGGCCACTCGAACCATGACCAGTAAAAGACAGCAGGGGAGGTCAAGTTCGAAGGTCACATGGTCGCCGACCAATCAGGAAACAAGGTGCCAGATCAATAAAACTCTATAACCGAACAATTAGTACTGATCGGAGATCGGATCCAGCTGACAGCACGTATATTAACGCACATGCAGCGCTAAGCTCCACTCAGCTAACAGTGCACTGAAGCGGGTTGTTTACAAGCATACTGCTCAGCCAAGCGAACAAACCAACGACCGAAAGATGCAGTTCCATGGAGTCGAAATTCACACAGGGTGCGCGAGTAAATACGAGAAGGCCTATTACTACTAAACGCAACCCACTTTAAGGGCTTGTGTCAATGTACAATAGTGGTAACGCCCAAATCATCTGACGCACATCGTCCATTCGGACAAGAGTTTTGGCAACTCAACAACCGTTAGCACCATTTGCCTAAGAATTATGGAGCTGAAAATGAGTCATGAAGTTTTCATAAAGGAAACTACTCAGAAGGTTGCTGAAAACTCTTGGACAGTCCACGATCGGTTTCCCAGTTCTTGGGGCTCATCAGGTAGGCGCAGTCCCCGAGTTTCCGTCAATCTTATGTTCTACTTGAACCCAAATTGGACTGTTTTCGAGAAATATACTCATTTGCAAATCCATTTGGTTTTCACAAGAGACTCAAGTAAATCTCTCTCTACTCTCCACTCTGCTGAGGAGATGGCCCCAACTGACTAGTCTGGAAACGCCTAGTGGACAAATCAGCTTAAAGTAATGATAAATCCGCTCTAAATCAAACTTTAAAGCCGTTTCTGTGGCTAGTAGCCACTGCGAATAGACCGGAAGCTTCTTCGAGTTACACCAGGGAACGTCACAAAGTAGAATCCAGAGAGGTCAAGGACAAGGGCCACTCGAACCATGACCAGTAAAAGACAGCAGGGGAGGTCAAGTTCGAAGGTCACATGGTCGCCGACCAATCAGGAAACAAGGTGCCAGATCAATAAAACTCTATAACCGAACAATTAGTACTGATCGGAGATCGGATCCAGCTGACAGCACGTATATTAACGCACATGCAGCGCTAAGCTCCACTCAGCTAACAGTGCACTGAAGCGGGTTGTTTACAAGCATACTGCTCAGCCAAGCGAACAAACCAACGACCGAAAGATGCAGTTCCATGGAGTCGAAATTCACACAGGGTGCGCGAGTAAATACGAGAAGGCCTATTACTACTAAACGCAACCCACTTTAAGGGCTTGTGTCAATGTACAATAGTGGTAACGCCCAAATCATCTGACGCACATCGTCCATTCGGACAAGAGTTTTGGCAACTCAACAACCGTTAGCACCATTTGCCCAAGAATTATGGAGCTGAAAATGAGTCATGAAGTTTTCATAAAGGAAACTACTCAGAAGGTTGCTGAAAACTCTTGGACAGTCCACGATCGGTTTCCCAGTTCTTGGGGCTCATCAGGTAGGCGCAGTCCCCGAGTTTCCGTCAATCTTATGTTCTACTTGAACCCAAATTGGACTGTTTTCGAGAAATATACTCATTTGCAAATCCATTTGGTTTTCACAAGAGACTCAAGTAAATCTCTCTCTACTCTCCACTCTGCTGAGGAGATGGCCCCAACTGACTAGTCTGGAAACGCCTAGTGGACAAATCAGCTTAAAGTAATGATAAATCCGCTCTAAATCAAACTTTAAAGCCGTTTCTGTGGCTAGTAGCCACTGCGAATAGACCGGCACGTCTGGACATTACAACTAGAACTGACATTTTGGTCAGTACTGCTCCCCCATCCTCTCCGTCTGCTCCAAGATGACGAATGTCAGCAGAACGTCTGATGGGTAATTATTACCACAAACTCCAGCTCTTTTCGAACACAGCACCAGCAGCCATAATCTGGAGTACCAATAGATTGTGGACAAGCACACAAAATAAATTCTCTCTATTGTGTTGCGCACAGTCCAAAGCACACGAAAGGCCAGACACAGATGTTCCACCTGACTTCGCGTCCCAAGACCACCCACAAAAACGTGCCGGTTACAAGCCAGAGTAAAACTATCGGGTAATCGCTGATCAAGGTCCCGGGCTTCTGCTAGTGTTCC